AAGCAAAAAAAAGACCCACTCGATTTAAATAGAAACACTTATTTTTCACTTTCGTTTCTGTGCCGTGTTTTAGGTTAAAAGTGTAATTATTAGCGGTTTAAAAATGTACAGTCATGCTCAGTTTTCTATACGTTTTCACATTACAATAGTTTTTATTGTGTTTTCCATTGCACTCTCACTTTGGTCTAGTTTCTAACACCTCAAATAACTAGTGCAGAAAATTTCAATCTATAATTTAACATGATTTAAATTTAAAATTTGCTCATTATTAATCAAATTATAAGCTTAGCGTCTTTAAAAAGCATACAGCCGTAGTTTCATTTATAAATTTTGCAAGGTTAAGAAATTCAAGTAATAAAAAAGTAGTAAGCGGAAGTGGCAGTGATCTGGCCATATAGCTCAAAGAACCGGCAACTGATGGTGAAGAAAGATTATCGAGTGTTGCCTCATACCCGTAAGCGGCGGCCTATTAGGTGAAGTGACGATTTGATAAGACATGCAAGATGTCGATGGATGCCGGTAGCTAAGGACCGTGTTGTAACATTAAGCCGCGTATCCACCAAAAATGTTGACAACAGTTATGTTTCCAACTGTTTCCAACAAGCGTCTCCACCGAGGGAACAAATGTTGACAGCAAGTGTATTCCTTTGATGTTACCGCCGTAAATGGAAACAAGTTTTGTTGGCTACTATTGTGTTGGCAACAAATCTTTGGTGGAGACGCGGCTTTACTTGGGAGAAGCCTATGTTGAGCAGTGGACTTGGAAGGACTGTAATAATGATTATGATAATGACGTAAAAAATTCGTCAGTATACGAGCAAAGTGTAAAATATTATTATCAAATCGTATAAAAGTATTTTTCTCGTTATACTTGAACTACCATTCCACACAAAACAAATTTGAAAAGGGGCACCCCAGCCTGGCATCGCATTCCGCAACATTTTTCGGAACAGCTGACGTTAAAAAAAACACCCCTCTTTCTTTATCAATGGTTAAAGTATTCAATATAAACACATGCTTTTCATACGCATGTTGTATTTTGCTACCAACGACACCATTTAAGATTCCGAAACATTCCATTTGGAAAACTCTACAAGATTTACATTTATTTTATAAAATGAATATTAATTGGCATTAGTTTTAATGGCGCAAATTATGTGTTGTTTTTTATGGGATAAGGGTGACAAGCGAGCACACAGCCCACCTAATGGTAAGTAGTTGCTGTGGCCCATAGACATCTACATTTATCCTCGTGTGCGAATCAAAATGCAGACTAAGATGGAATGCCTCTTTTCAGTAAAAATGGTCTCCGGTTCTCTACACTCACCATATGAAACACAGCAGAATTAATCTGCTATTTTACGCTGGTATTCTGCGAGAGCGTGGTCCTTCCCCGGTCGAGCCGACCCATTCGTGCTACAACTATACTACTGATATAGCTACAACATGGCTCTACCACGTATAAAAACGACTAACTTTAGTATGAAAATTATCTTAAGTTTTGCTAATCTAAGATTTAGTTGTTCGTAAGGTAATATTCAACATAATGTTCATATGCAATAGATTTGCTCAACTTTGGTCTAAAACTTTATATTTATAAAAGAAATCTTCGCGGCTTTGCCAATAATATTGTCAACCAACTATTAGTTTTAGCAACAAATATATTCAATTCACCAACGTTTAACCAAGTATGTAGAGTGTGTAGTTTAAGTTATTGTTTATGGAATACAATAAACAATTCGAAAATCATGTAAATTCTTTTTTAAATGTTCATTTGCTTCTTCTTTTTAGCCGATACCTTGTGGCCAAACTTCAGTTTAGACGGCTATGAAAAAAGATAACATTAGCCTACGTTTGAGCGCAGGCTTACCGTTTAGGCTTAGCTTCATCTAAGCCAACCAAACTTAACTTTATTATTGAAACTATCATAGCCGTATCATATAATACACTTAGTGCGTCAAAATAGGCAACTTTTGTTCAAACATCAAAAGCGAGCCTTAAATCAACATGGCGCAAACTATTCCATATTCTAATGTTCGTACATACAACTTTTTCAACACTCATGTGTGCACGGTTCGCTTCCCACCAGTAGCTTGCACATGGCACCGAGGAATTCAACACGCAGATGTTCGTTCCGCCACAGACACGATTTAATACCTAATAAAAACATCCACCATTTATTCAATATATTATGTGCTTGCGGCACAATAAAAATTTAAACAACAAAAAAACTTAAAGTTTATTTTCATTATTTGGATATTTTCTTTTCGAAACATTATGCTACCTTCTTCTTCATCAGCTCGTGGAAGGTCATAGCTATTTGATGAATATGAATTTTACATATCCAATGGAATATTAATATTGTAAAATCAGTTTGCACTCAATTAATTTTCAGAAATGCTTGGCGCTTAGGCACGCACTGAAAATGTTAATTGAAATGATCCAACAATAACTAAAACCCAGTAATAAATGAAAAAGGCGGAAAGATAAAAAGAGATAAAGATCCATTGAATTAAATTTTAAGGAACATATATTTTTATTTTTAAAATGTTTAACCTAATAAATTTAATATTTGCGTTAATTGAATCAATTAAAAACCACATTAACAATAAATAAAACTATTCAAATTTTCTGAATGCAATGAAGTATGGTCATCTATTTAGATATTTAAAATTTCAAAAGTAGAAACAAAACAAGAAAGCTACGAAGCTGTGACATCCATTAGCGCATTCGTTCGTGAGTTACGATGCATATGGTAACATCGTCAGACATTTCGAAATATAATTTTAAAGTTCGGCCTGTTTATTTAGCGTCTTTATAAGTAAACATAAGAATATCGTCAAAGTAGCCATGAAAAATTCTACGGACACCAACATTGTAGCGAAGCAATCAAATGCAATCTACATTCCAATTCCCCACGAACGTTAAGCAAAAGGAATTTGCACTCAACATAATTTACCGCCAATAAATGACGCACACAACATCAAATAACTTTTCAAAATATTATGTCAAAAAACACCGACGCGCGCTATAAATCCGAAAAGGCCACGATATTGATGGCTTTCTTTTTACGATTACGAACGAAACTTTATTTTTATTTCAAGTCGCTTAATTTACAACCCGCTGAGGGCATCTGGCACTTTGACATGTACGGATATAAAATCGAAACAGCCACATGAGTAAAAAGTGGTTTATTAGATGTTGCGAAAATTTTCTTTACAAAGCGTATTTTACAATGGAATTAACATACGTTAATGTTCCTTTCAAAACGCAAATGAGCGGTAAATTACGTTTATATTTACCTACCCAGAATAAATTTTGCGGTGAGTCTGCATTTCATTAGATCACCTGGTTAAAGTTTTTTTTTTTTATATATAGAAACAGGGGCAAACGAAGCACCCAATACCGGGGGAGCCATGAACCCCTTCGAAGACAGCCGGGTAATGAGGGCTACCTCGATACCCATAGACCTTCTATCCCAAGGGCCAAAAGAAGAACATCACCACCAGGGTGATTGCAGAAATACCCATCTTAAGGCCTATTTAATTACAAGGGTTATCTTATCATATAAATAACGATTTGAATTTTTTTATTTTAAAGTTGATGTATCAACTGAAATATTTCTTACTTTATTGCTTAAATCGATTTGCTTTGGAAATATCTCTTGAATTTTTAAATAAACTCTCAGGAAGAATTTTTGATAATTTGGTGACTCTTTTTCTTCTGATTGTTTTCCAATTCCATTTTCATATTATTTTTTTCTTTTCAAATTAAAGTAATATAATTTTAATATTATGAAACGTTTAAACTAGGTGTCTACGAAAGTAACCAGATATTGTGTTTTACTGAAACTTTTTGATGTCATTTGACGATTGTGAAAATATAATTGCAGTAATAATTAAAAAAATAGCCTTAATTTTTTCTGTATTTATTAATTTTTTTAACAGGAAGTTTAACGAAGACATTATAATAGGTTTTTCTCATTACCTATTATATATATATTACCATCACCTATTCTCATACAAAAAAACGATGACTTAGTTCTCACGATCATTAGCAACAATGCAAAGAATCATGTTAAAACAAAGCGATACTTTTCTAAGAATGGGTTATAGTTTAGTGTTAATATTAAAAGCCTGAGGCCTAAATAAATTTAAATACTAACTTCATTGTTTAGAAAGGCATCTCAAAAGGTGAAAGTCATGTGCTACCTATCTTGCTTTGCAAAAACTGGCATCTCGATGCGGCCTTGCCAAGGTGAGTGCAAGAGGTACATAACGGTTCCACGACGCGGGCGCACAGGCTTCACATACCACTGTCGTTGACCACTTCGAACAACATTGCCTTGTTAACGCTCCAATGAATGTCGATACTGTTTTGTTTGGTTGCGACCAGAAATAAAAGCGTCAGTGAATACCGAAGTGACAGAACACCATGCATTAGAAACTTTCGTTGTATTAAGACACGTTTAGTTCATTTCCTTTTAGTACCATGTTTCACTAATATGGTGTGCAAAGCCGGTTCACATTTTAGACACGTATTTAGGTGTTCTTTATGGGAACGCAGTTATAACTGTGCCATCATTCAGGGAAAACGAATGGAACAGTTGACGTTGAACTTATAGTAAACACAATAATCAAAACAACGATTGCAACAACAAACGAGTGTAAGAATGCGAGTTAACTTATTACATAATCCTTTAAAGGATGAAGTAGGTGGTCAAGATTATGGTGCAATAAGGTTGTTGAGATTATCTGATGAAGATCTTACAATAAGTATTATTTATTAGTCATATAAATCTAATTAGATCTGTAGAAATACATAAACATTAGCATAGTGATAGTAAAACGACAAAAAGAGCCTTTAAGAACATTACAATATTATTAATACCCTTATAACACTAGAATGCGTCGATAGGGACCCTTTCAAATTCTTGAGCGAAAATGTCAATAACCTATGGTTGGTTACGAAGCACACCCCTCTTGCAAAACAGTACTTACGATTTGGCTGATCTCAGTAATGGGGATCGGCGAAATTGTTTTATCGGAGCCTTGTGGGAGAGACGAGGCGCTGGGTGTAGGGGACACGCCAGGGGAACTCGGCTGCACGTTCACTACGCTCTCCTTAGAAGTGCGGTTCGGAGACAACCTCGAAGGGAAGCTCAGCGTCTTCGTCCACTGCGACAGGCTACGCACCATCTTGAGTGTTCATAAGCACAAAACACGTTCACTTAACACGTCAACACGAACGCGAGCGACACATTCGCACCGTACGACGGTCGGCGGACGAATGCGCGTCGATCCAAACAAAACTTGACGCAGCCTGTGCAAGTTGCGACTTGGTTATGTCGTATTGCACATGTGTGCGTAGCTTTCGTTCATGTGTACGGCTTAGGACGGGTGCTGGGAACCCGCAGGGTACGGTACAGGGCCCAATCTTTTGTTTATCGATGGGGCGACCACCTCAATTGAGGCGATAATTTAAGCGATTTTGAGAAAAAAATCCTCGTGCACTCGAATACCTTATTGCTTATTTTGCAATGCACGTATACTTGAGAATGTATCACGAGGACCTTTTGTTATGAGACTGGTTAATTTTAAAGATAACAGAATGGAGTTCCTTTTTGTATTTTATTGTTCCACGGATGTATTGTTCAATGCAAATTAATTTAGTTACGTTATTTATAATCGATTTTTACTGATGTACAGTTTTGTTTATCATCAGTTTGTAGTTCATAGATTCTGCTTATAACCTATACAAATAAATTTCATAGATATATCGGTTAGTCTTTTTAAAGATTTTGAATTAAGTCGTTGTTTTGTTTTTGTACCTTGTCCTCGGTTTTACTTCTCCATTTACTATAAGAAATCTAATAATGACGTTTCCTTCAGTTAGTAGCAACAAACATACATACAAGACACAACCCACCTGCGGTCACTATTGTCCATTGGTACCCGCATCTGTACTCCAATAAGAATCGATACATTAACCTTAAGACTAATATGGAATGTTCTTTTCAGCAACAAGATCTCTCGGTTGTTTTGGTTCTCTTCATTAAGCATAGTATTAACTTCTTCAGTAATAGTATGGGCTTTTCTTAGACATTTCGAGCCTTGATCGAACCATCACTGCTGCTAATTGAAAAACAATGCAACTTGAAATTGTGTTTCTATTCATTTGTGCGTTAGTTATAATGTCTATTGTTAAACAGAAATTAAATTTGCTTTCTTTCATTGCTTTATACGTATTTAACAATTTTAGATCAACTTTACAAATGGATCTTTATCAGAATCTACACCGCTTTTCGTTGTTTGGGTGTCAAGATTTCTAATTATTGGATATTAAAAATATATGGATCATATCACGGATGGGTCGGCTCAAACCGGGGTGGTACCACGACCTCACAGAATACCAGCGTGAAGTAGAGGTTTACCTCTGCGTTTCGCTCGGTGAATGCAGGTGGCCGGAGGCCCTTTTTACTGGAAAAGAGGCAATCCACCTTAGTCCTCACGGGTGACAACGCATCTGCATTTTGATTCGCAAACGAGGATAGATGTAGATGTCTATGGGCCACAGGTACCACTTACCATCAGGTAGACTGTGTGCTCGTTTGTCACCCTATCCTATAAAAAAAATATGATTACACACAAAAGTTATTATTATAACAATATAAGTTACAATTGTTTTTATGTTTAATACATCAGGAATGCGATTATATAACTGTGGTGGGAATTGTGTTTGAATTCGTTTTGACATTTGTGTTAAAGTTATAAGTCAAACAAATTTTTAGCATATTTCTTTTTATATCATCTTATTTTAGTTTATAAAATATGTTTAGAATGATTTCAGAGTGATTTTAGTCAGCAATAATTACCAAAGTTCACTGGCACCCGCAATTAAGCTGTAATAATATTTTTTCTTTTCTAATTGGAAAATAATAAGAAAGCTTCTCACCGAGTTTTACTTACGTTAATATAAATTTATGCGTCTGATTTCTTGAAAATGTGACTTTGTGGCACAGGCGAAACTGTGAAGAAATAACTTCTCGAGGCGTTTTTTCAATCACTAACCCACTCTTCTACATTCTAAAAATTAAAGCAGTAGAAAATCTAAAACAGTTACTAAATAAATAAAAAAAAAATAAGTAAATATAAAATTTCAAAGACTTGTGTCAAATTCCGTCTGTATAGAATGTATATGAATAAATGTATTTATTGCAAATGCATTAAAATGAATGAAGTAATATTTCTATGAAAAATTTTATGATATTGAGTTTTCCGCTGAACTTCTTTCATTGGATTGACTATACTTTCCTTGTAAGAATTCATCTCATTATGTTATTTTATAGAATAAGGATAACAAATGAGCACACATTCCACCCCTGAGAACTAATACGGAAAGTCTTCCGGATTAAAATCTAAAGCTAATAAAAAAAAAATCAAAGTGAAAAGTTCAGTTTTTCAAAAGATAGCTTGTTTACATCCATACCGACTAACTGACGTCCAAGTGAAATTATTTTCAATAAACTTTTATTTTTCATATTTATTGAAATAAATAATCTTATAACTACGTCAGAAGTATTAATTGAAATCTCCTCTTGCTATTGGTGTACTTTTTTATTATATAAGTGCAATATAAATCTGTTAGAAGTGATTTAAGTACCTAGAGTGGATCGCGATTTTTTGATTTGGTGCCAATAGAGCACTACATCTCCGCTTCGCGTTCGATGTGTGCAATAATACACGTATTTCATTCATAAATCTTGTAACTCTTTAGCTTTTATGACCCTCAGCGTCGTTGCATAAACGCAATCAGGATACATATAAGTGGGGGAGTAGGGGACAAGTGGGAGCCAAGGTTGGCTAAAAGCAGAAACAATGGCTGCTAAGGTTCGTTGCATGCGACTTCCGACCGCCACGTGCGCGCGCAGCTGCCGCGCCGCCCGCAGCGCATGCGCGGGATGTTGCGATACAAAATAGGGACAAAATAAAAAAAAATCAAATTATATATTGAGATTATATATATAATATACTAGCAATTCGCTCGACTTCGCACTGGTGATTTCTGGATCTCGACACGCCACCTACCCGGATCAATTGTGAATCTAAAGCATCCTGGAACAGCAATTCTCAAGTCATGATCTTTCATACACGTGGAAATTTATTTTTATTTATATAGATAATTAACATTCATTTATCTAAGCGTATACTAACAGTTTTTATAGGCTATAAGCTTATAAAAAGTCTTTCAAAAGTCCACTCCTGAACACTCCTCCCTAAGATAGCCTCATAGGAGATTTCGCCATAGTTGCCACGCTCGGCAGGCGGGTTAACCACTGCAGTTATTTTTCCAGTTGTTATTACCTCCTGTTTAGGGTTGCCATCTCCTAAAATGAAAAAACGGGACTCGGCGCTCGAAAAAGCCGGATGGGCCTAAAAGCGGGACAGTCATTTTTAGAAAGCCAAACATACCTTTCTGAGGCCATGCAGCCAAAAAACTCACCAACTCCAACTCAACAACAACCAAGCGATGCGTGCAACGCGTTACACTAATAAAAAGTCTAACAAAAGCCTGACAGGCCGAACACATAAAAATTTGGCCGGACACAACCCGAAAAAACACAAACATGTCCGGCTAAAGCCGGACATATGGCAACCCTACTTCTATTTCAGTTTACTTCAGTCGCTTTTTATGACACCCACGGTATAATCAACAACAATGAATTAATTTTTATTTAATTAGCACATATTTATTTATTAATTTTTATCTGAAACCAGCGTTTAAATTTCGAAATGTATTTTTCGTGATAGAGTTATGTTACAGCATAATTTTGACTACGTTACGACTAGTGCTGACATATATTAATATGGGCTAAGGCTTACAGAATAAAGAAGACACTTTTCAACATCGACTACGGGCGTATGTACCTGGCTAGCTATCAGACCGTGAAATGGCGTGGACTTGTTCCAACTAGTCGGTAAGTTCATAGTTTTAAATTCCTTTAGATATGAAGGTCATTTCTCTTTAAAATAAAAGATGTATTAAAAACTGGTTCCAGATATTTTTTATTCACGCTTGCTAATTTTTTATATAGTTTTTTTTAAAATTATTTGTTTAAATTTGAGCGGAAAACTGTTTGATGTTTTCTCAATAAATAACTCTGCATTTGCATTGCAATTTTATTATTAGAGTTATATTGAAACCTATAAATACCAATAACTTATAAAATACCATTCAAATAACTGCACATCACCTACGTAATTGCTGTAAAAGTGCTAAATAAATGTGTCTTCCTTTTACACAGCCGCCCCAGGAGGGCAATCTTTTTCGAGTGCAGGTATGCATGTATGTATGTATATATGTATGTATGTATAAATGTATGTATGTATATATGTATGTGTGTATATATGTATGGATGTATATATGTATGTATGTCTATTCCTTTGGCACACTATACAGCGGCATGATGGATTTTTTAACATATGAGGTGTCGTTAGAGATTTGACATAGGGCATAAATATTTGAATTCTTTTGTTTTCATTTAGATATGAACGCAGATTACGCAGTCAGGTGTTTTATGTTATCATTTGGGCATGCTATCTTTTATAATGACACATGTAATTTAAAATATTTTATATGAGACTAATAATATAATAGGTGTGTGTGTGTGTGTGTGTGTGTGTGTGTGTGTGTGTGTGTGTGTGTGCGCGTGCGTGCGTGCGTACGTGCGTGCGTGCGTGCGTGCGTGAGTGCGTGCGTGCGTGCGTGCGTGCGTGCGTGCGTGCGTGCGTGCGTGCGTGCGTGCGTGCGTGCGTGCGTGCGTGCGTGCGTGTGTGTGTGTGTGTGTGTGTGGGTGTTTTGGGTGTGTGTATACTAATATATTATAGCAAATGGCACAAACTACATATTTGTGCCATTTGCTGTAGAGACTATCGGACCGTGGAGTCCACGTGAAGTTCCTAAAGGAACTCCATCCGCAGCTACTCGGTGCTGCTGGTGATAAGAGGGCTGGCTCTTTTCTCACTCGTAGGCTAAGTATAGCCATTCAGCGGGGAATCGCAGTCAGCTTTCTTGGCATGATACCGCGGAGAGTATGATAATTAAGTTACTAGTCTTAGTTTTTATTTATTATAGTTTTTAATATTGAATATAATAAAAATATTATTTTATATACAATACATTATGTATTTTATATATC